AGAACGCAGCGCAGTGTGGCCATCCCCCCTGGGGGGTGATTTCTCGCTTTCTGTCTCTCTGTCTCTCTCTTTCTGGCGAGCGGACGCACCCTGTAGCAAAAACCTCTCAAAAAAAAAAAAAAAAGAGTGCATGAGAGAGAAGCACCCTCAATAGGGCTTCCTTATGTTGTAATCCACTTTCCCTGGCCCTCCAGCTCATCGGGATCTTGGGCTCATGTGTGTAAGCTCAGTGTGTTTTCAGCTTGACTGAGGATCCATACCCATAGTTGGCCACTTGGCTTCTAGCACTGCAGTTGAGTTTGTCACCCACTGTGCCACCAAGCTGCACCACAGTTAAAAAATTATACAGAAACTGTGTGTGTGGGGGGGAGGGGCGGGATCTGTATCGATCTTAGACAGCTAAGAAGTGATCAACAGACATTTCTTATTTTTACTGCTCAGCTCCAGTGTCTCTAGGGACTGACCCCTAGTTTCCCCTTACACAGGGGTCCAGATGGAAGCCAGTTAGGAACCAGGCCACACAGCAGGAGGTGAGCTGCGGTGAGTGAGGGAAGATTCATCTATATTTACTGCCGCTTCCAATCACTAGCTTTACTACCTGAGCTCCGCCCCCTGTCAGATCAGCAGTAGCATTAGATTCTCATAGAAGCACCTAGAAGGGACCAATTAGTTGCAGGAAAACAAGCTCAGGGCTCAGATTCTGCATTATGGCAGGTTGTATAATCATTTTGTTATACATTGCAATGTAATAATAATAGAAAGTGTTGGGGCCAGCAGGTGGTGTGGTGGTTAAGGGTGCTGGAATAGGACCAGCAGTTAGCATAATGGCTATGTCGCTGGACTCCCATGTAGTTGATCGTGGTTCGAATCCCAGACCCAGTGACTTAAACTCATGCCAGGCGCATGTGCATGCGTGTCAAGATCCTGAGAGGAGACTAGAGGAGAAGGGATTGGGGCATGGCCATGCCCCCTGGGGTAGGGGGGGATTTCTCACTTTCTATCTCTCTGTCTCTCTCTGTCTTTCTAGCGAGTGCAAGCGCCCTATGGCAAAAACCTCTCCAAAAAAAAAAAAAAAGGGTGCTGGACTTCCACATGACTACAGTTCAACTCCCAGACATGGCGCCTTTCTTTCTCACTTTCCCTCTGTCTCTCTGTCCTCCTCTGGTCAAATTAAAATAAGTAAACAAGTAAAGTTAAAATAAATAAAAAAAATTAAAAATAATAGAAAGTGCACAATAAATGTAATGCTCTTGAATCATCCCCAAACCATCCCTCCCAACCTCTGCTCTATTGGTGGAAAAACTGTCTTTCATAAAACCTGTCGCTGGTGCCAAAAAGGTTGGAGGGGGCCAGCAGATGGTGTAGCGGTTATATCGCTGTATTGCCACATGATTGACTGTGGTTCAAGTCCTGGACATGGTGGCTTGAAACTCAGGCCAACACATGTACATGGGTGCCCAAGATCCTGGGAGGAGAATGGAGGAGAAGGGATTGCAATATAATAATCCCCTCTGGGGATGATTTCTCACTTTCTCTCTCACTGTCTCTCTCTCTGTCTCTCTCTCACTGGCAAGGGCACATGCCCTAAGGCAAAAACTCTAAAAACAAATATAAAAAAAAAAAGGTTGGGGACTACTGACTTATGGAAGCATTCCCCTAATTGTAAATGGGTTTGTGTAGGGCTGACCTCACAGTCTAGGTCTGTCCCCCTGGAGTCACGGAGATCTGGTCAGTAATGGACATACTTCTCAATCCAGGCCAATCCAGGCACTCCGGGACCTGTGCTCAGCTGCAAGGAGTGAGCCTGGAGTGGCTCTGCCATTTCTGTCCTCTCTTTGGAAGGGAAAAAGGACTCCTGATGCTATCACTTGAGCATCGAGGTGTGCCTCAAACATTAGCCCAGGACTTGTCAATTGTGTAGGGCAACAAAAGCCACGTGTAGTTTAAACAGTCAGTCGCCAGTCTCGAGTAATGAAACTCTAGACTAATACAATGACTGGTGTCAAAAACAAAGCCTGGACTTCTCTCACCCGCTCCCCAATATTTCCTTCAACTAAGCCACTGTCCTCCCAGCTACACCACCAGCCATCTTGGTTTTTCTCTTTCTGCTAAATTTGAAGACCTCCTGATCTCCCCTTCAGAATGCTTTCATCCAGATTCCTCTTTCTGCAGGTGAATCCTGCTCAGACTCCTTCCATAGCTCCCTACATCAACCAACTGCAGCCAGACTCCAGCTTCCCGATCAGGCCTCCCGCACTCTTGCCAATTTAAATGTGAAAAATGACCTGGCTGTGTTTCACTTGTAGTTCTTTGATTATAGTGGCTGGACATTTTTCACACTCTTTTTTAAAGAACTATTTTATTTACCTTTATTTATTTATTTTAATTTGCCCAGACAGGGACAGAGCAAGAGAGAAAGAGAGAGGAAAAAAAATTGAGAAAGCAAGCCTCCAGGTCCGGGACTCGAACCATGGTCAGCCATATGGGAGTTCAGTACCCTTAACCACCACGCCACTTGCCAGCCCCACACATTTATCAGTCATCTGCGCCTCTTTGGAGACTTACTTATGTACTACTTGGCACATTTTTATACTGAACCTTCGTATTTTCTTATTGATTTGCAAAGGCTTTTTATAATATTGATCCTTTGTCATTTATCTACTGCAAATAATTTTTCTCAAGTATGTGAATAGGCTTTTACTTTTGTTTATATTCTTTATTGATATGTTTTAAAGTATACTTCAGAAAAATCTTTAGTATTTCTTTCTTTGTTCTTTTCTAATTTTTGCCAAAGGGTACACTTGCCAGAGAGAGGGAGGGAGAAAGCACCCCCCGTGGGAAATGGTCACACTGCAATCCCTTCTCCTTCATGTCTCCCTCCTCTCAGGATTCTGAGCCCATATGCCCACACACCCAGCATGTTTCTCAGGCCACTGGGTCCAGGACTTCAGCTGCATAGTTGGCCATGTGGGATCCAGTCACGTTCACCATCACACCACCAGCTAGCCCAAAATCTTCATTATTTCTAATTTCGCCATCATGCTTAGGAAGTCTGTCCTTACCCAAAGATTATGTAAACAGTTACATATGTTTACTTTCAGTATCTGATTTTCTTCTTTAAAAATTCCAGATTTTTTTTTTTAAATTAAGGGCTTTAAGTAAATAACCATGGTACTATAAATTGATAATCATTTGGTAGTATGCAAATACCTCAGGCTGTATGATTTCCTTTTATTTGGATTTTAGTCTAGCTAGAAATTTTTTTTTTTTGGAGAGGTTTTTGCTATAGGGCACGTGCACTCGCCAGAGAGACAGAGAGACAGAAAGCAAGAAATCACCCCCAGGGCGGATGGCCATGCCATAATCCCTTCTCCTCCATTCTCCTCTTGGGATCTTGGGCATGCACGCACATGCGCCTGGCATGAGTTTAAGCTACCGGGTCTGGGACTTGAACCACGGTCGACTACATGGGAGTCC